ATCTCAATAGGTATCCTGTCAATTCTTGGAGCCTTGTTTTTGCTGCTTCCTTCAGTTCAGCTTCGACTTCTTCCTTCAATACCATTGGTTCTTGATCATCTGCCACCTCCTGAAATGGATGAACATCAACCAATTCTTTTTGGTACAGTGATTCTGTGTATTCTTTCCATCTGATTTTGATGTTTTCTGCATCATTAAATCAATATGTTGCCCACAGAATCTTTCAATATTGCAACTCGAGGCTTAAATTTTTTCTTAAGTTCTTTCAGCTTAAGAAATGCCAAGCATGTTCTTCCCTTTTGGCTTTTCAACTCCATGTCTTTGCACATTTCGTTATAATAATTGACTTTGTCTTCTTGAGCTGCTCTTTGAAATCTTCTGTTCACCTCTTTTATCTTCCTGGTTCTTCCATTTGCTTTAGCTACTCTCCCCTCAAGGGCAAGTTTCAGAGTCTCTCTGACATCCATTTTGGTCTTTTATTCCTTTCCTGTCTTTGAATGACGTTTTGCTTTCTTCATTGATGATATTCTTGATGTCATCCCATAATTCTTCCAGTTTTCAGTCATTGGTGTTCAATGCATCTAACCTATTCTTTAGATGGTCTCTAAATTCAGGAGGGATATATTCCAGGTCATATTTTGGCTCTTGTGCACTTGTTTTAATTATCTTCAACTTCAACTTGAACTTCCAAATGAACAGTTGATGGTCTACTTCACAATCAGGTCCTGGCCTTATTTTGGCTGAAGATATTGAGCTTTTCCATTGCCTCTTGTCACAGATGTAGTCAATCTGATTCCTTTGTACTCCATCTGGCAAAGTCCATGTGTATAGCTGCTGTTTGTGTTGTGAAAAAAGGTCTTTGCAATGAATAAGTCATCAGTCTTGCAAAGTTCTATCATGCAATCTCCCATGTCGTTTTTATCACCAAGGCCAAATTTTCCAATTACTGGTGATTCTTCTTTGTTTCCAACTTTTGCATTCCAATCACCAATGATAATCAGCATGTCTTGATTGCATGTTTGGTCAATTTCAAACTGCAGAAGTTGGTAAAAAAAAATCTTCAAATATTTGACATTTGTAGTATACTTAAAAAACTTCAATCTTAACATTTGTCATGGTGTTTTGCAACATGCTTTCCATGGTTATCCTCCTACCCAGCTGAGCTCTTCCAGGGAAAGTATTAAATCTCTCTTCATCCTCCTCTGTCCTCAGAGCTGACACTTAGATCATCAGGGGTTTGCTGAATGAACTGAAAGATAAAATCAATGAGATAGTCAAGCCATTCCTTGGACTGTTGAACAACTTCATGAGCTCTGGGAATAGAAACAAGGAGCTTGTTTTTATCCTTTTGGACCCAGGAATGTGGCATGTTGAAACCTTGGGAAGGACTGAATGGGATAAAGAGTGTGGGAAGTGAACTCAACTCCAAAGTCTAGTGGTGGTAGGGAGGACTCAGTGGAAACTGGTAGAGACAACCAAGCAATCCAGTGCACAGTATCCAAACATCATAGGAGCTGAGGAGCAGTTCAGATAGATAAGTCACAGGAAGAAGGGCCCAACCTGCCTGGAAAGGCATACGCACATCAGTGTTATTAGCAGAGCCACCCTATTCCAAGAATCCATTCCTTTTGGCTGATAGTAAGAACTCAGGCAGCTGGAGGCTAAATGATTGGGATTCAACTGTCTATGAAAGGGGACCAGATGTTTCTGGGAAGGGCCTCAGAATTCTAATCAGGTTGGGTAAACACAAAGGCAGAGCTTGAGTGACAAGCCTCCAGAATGTCGGGAAAAATGATCTGTCACTTACACTGGACTCAACTCTCAGGCAGGAAGTTAGAAAAATTCAATATAGAAATTGCTAGAATTCTCAGGGCACATCCTCACACACATCAATGTGATAGCATAAGCCAGAGCCCTACTAAGATATGGGATCAAGGTTACTGATAAACTTCCTTCTCCAGTCAGGAAGTCAATGCTGTCAGTGACAGGATAATATCCATATGCCTACAAGGAGCTCTGGTGGTGTAGTGCCTAAGGCATTTGACTTTTAACCAGAAGTCTGGCTGTGCAAACCCACCAGCCACTCCTGGGAAGGAAGGTTGGGCAATCTACTTCCGTAGTGACACCACCTCGGAAACCCAAGGAGGGGTCGCTACGAGTCAGATCCGACTTGATGGCAGAGTGTTTGGTTTGTTTGGTTTGACAAAGAAGACCAGTTAATATGACTATTATTCAAATTTATGCACCAACCATCAAAGCAAAAGATGAGGAAATTGAAGTTTTTTATCAACTTCTGCAGTCTGAAATTGACCAAACATGCAATCAAGATGTGTTGCTTATCACTGGTGATTGGAATGCAAAAGTTGTAAACAAAGAAGAGTCACCAGTAGTTGGAAAATTTGACCTTGGTGACAGAAATAATGCTAGAGATTGCATGATAGAATTTTGCAAGACTAACAACTTATTCATTGCAAATACCTCTTTTCAGCAACACAAATGTTGGCTATACACTTGGACTTTGCCAGATGGAATACAAAGGAATCAGATTGATGACATCTATGGCAAGAGGTGATGGAAAAGCTCAATATCTTCAACCAAAACAAGACCAGGAGCTGATTGTGGAACAGACCATCAACAGGTAATATGCAAGTTCAACTTAAGTTGAAGACAATTAAAACAAGTCCAGGAGAGCCAAAATATGACCTTGAATATATCCCTCCTGAATTTAGACACCATCTCAAGAATAGATTTGATGCATTGAACACCAATGACCGAAAACCAGAAGAATTGTGGGATGACATCAAGAGCATCATCCATGAAGAAAGCAAGAGGTCATTAAAAATACAAGAAAGAAAGAAAAGACCAAAATGGATGTCAGGAGAGACTGTGAAACTTGCCCTTGAGCCAAGAGTAGCTAAAGCAAATGGAAGAAATGACAAGATAAAAGAGCTGAACAGAAGATTTCAAAGAACAGCTCAAGCAGACAAAGCCAATTACTATGGTGAAATGTACAAAGACCTGGAGTTAGAAAACCAAAAGGGAAGAACATACTCAGGATTTCTCAAGCTGAAAGAACTGAGGAAAAAATTTAAGCCTCGAATTGCAATATTGAAAGATTCTACAGGCAAAATACTGAATGATGCCAGAAGCATCAAAGGAAGATGGAAGGAATACACATAGTTACTGTACCAAAAAGAATCAGTTGATCTTCATCCATTTCAGGAGGTAGCATATGTTCAAGAACGAATGGTATTGAGGGAAGAGGTTGAAGCTTCACTGAGGGAATTGGCAAGGAAGGAGGCTCCAGGAATTGATGGAATACCCATTGAGATGTTTCAACATATGGTTGTCCCGCTGGAGGCACTCACTTGGTTATGCCAAGAGATTTGGAAGATAGCTGTCTGGTCAACTGACTGGAAGAGATCCATATCTGTACCCATTCCAAAGAAAGGTGACCCCACAGAATGTGGAAATTATCAAACAATATCATTAATATCCCATGCAGGTAAAATCGTACTGAAGATAATTCAAAAATGGTTGCAGCAGTATATTGACAGAGAACTAGAGGTGCAGGCTGGATTCAGAAGAGGATGTGAAACAAGAGATATCATTGCTGATGTCAGATGGATCTTGGCTCAAAGTAAAGAATACCAGAAAGATGTTTACTTGTGTTGTATGACTATGCAAAAGCATTTGATTGTGTGGATCATAACAAATTGTGGATAACATTGAGAAGAATGGTAATTCCAGAACACTTAATTGTACTCATGAGGAATCTGTACATAGACAGAAGGCTGTCATTCAAACCAAAAAAGGGAACACTGCATGGTTTAAAATCAAGAAGAGAGTGCGTCAGTGTTGTATCCTTTCACCATACTCATTCAATCTGTATGCTGAGGAAATAATCTGAGAAGCTGGACTATATGCAGAAGAACATGGCACCATGATTGGAGAAAGAATCATTAACAACCTGCGATATCCTGATGACACAACTGTGCTTGTGAGGATGACTTGAAGTACTTACTGATGAAGATTGAAGACTACAGTCTGCAGTATGGATTACATCTCAATATAAAAAGAAAACAAAAATCCTCACAACTGGACCTATAAGCAGCATCACAATAAATGGAGAAAAGATAGAAATTGTCAAAGACTTCACATTGCTTGGTTTTACAGTTGACGCCAATGGAAACAGCAGTCAGGACATAGATGACATATAGCACTGAGCAAATCAGCTGCAAAGGACCTCTTTCAAGTGCTGAAGAACAAAGATATCTCCTTGAGGACTAAGGTTCACCTGACACAAGCCATGGTATTTTCAATCACCTTATATGCATGTGAGAGCTGGACAATGAATAAGGAGGACCGAAAAAAGTTGATGCTTTTGAGCTGTGGTGTTGGCGAAGAATGCTGAAAGTACCGTGGACTGCTAAAATAACTAACAGGTGTGTCCTGGAGGAAGTGCAGCCAGAATGCTCCTTGGAGGCTAGAATGGCCAGACTTCATCTCACATACTTTGGTCATGTTGTTAGAAGGGACCATTCCCTGGAGAAGGATGTCATGCTTGGTAAGTTGGTGGGTTGACAAAAGAGGGGAAGGCCCTTAACGAGGTGGATTGACATGGTGGCAGTGATGATGGGCTCAAGTGTAGCAAGAATCATGGAGCTGGCTCAGGACTGGGAGGTGTTTTGTTCTGCTGTGCATAGGGTCGCTGTGAGTTGGAGATGACTAGATGGCACCTAACAACAACAACAACCAGTCAGGAAGTGAGATGGGCCCACACTACAGGTGATGGACAACAATGATTCCAGCTATGAGGCTGCTCTCTAATAAAATGACCTAGAAAAGTATCTCCTGTCTTGAACTTGTTCCACAGCCTTTGTGAGTGGTCTGGGTTTTTGCTTTGTTTTTAAAAACGTTAGAGCACTTTTAAGTTTTCACTAGTCTTCTTAATGTAGACCCATCAGAACATGGCCAATCAGGAATCTGTTTTATTGTAGGTGTACCCACTGCCTGGCCCCTCGCCCATCTGACCCCTTTGTTCGCTTTTGTCAAGAATGTGGCTCTCCTGTCCCACCCATATTTGGGTCTCGTCTCCCACCTCCAGAAGGAGCACAGGTGAGCAGCAGAATCCTTATAACATCTTTCAGTGGTTTATCTGATCTTTATTTGTAACAGTATCATAGTGTCTGGCACACCTGAAATACGAACATAAATGCTGGCAGATTAATCTCTTACTATTCAGACTTCTACTTAAGAATGGGAAAATGTGTTTGCAGTGGCATTTCTTTTTTTGTGGCACTGCAGAAGCATGGACTCAGAGTGTGAAATCTTACTTTTCATATGAGACATGCACATGTAAATATTTGCTACTAATTTACTGACCATTTGATATTTCTGTTCATTACCAACCTACAGTAAAGAAATACAATCTAGAAAGAAATGGGGCAAAGTACTTACTGTGTTATTGTTGTTACATGTTGTCGAGTTGGTTCTGACCCTACGTACAGCAGAGTGAAACACCGCTTGGTCTTGTACCTTCCTCACAGTTGTTGCTATGATTGAGCCCATTGTTGTTGCCACAGTGTTAATCCATCTCGTTGAGGGTCTTCCCTTTTTTCCCTGACCTTGTACTTTACCAAGCATCATAACTTTCTCCAGGAACTGGTCTTTTCTGATAACATGACCAAGCCAGGTAAAGCAGTCTACTCATTCTTGCTTCTGAGGAGCATTCTGGCTGTACTTCTTCCAAGACAGATTTGTTCGTTCTTCTGGCAGTCCATGATATTTTCAGTATTCTTTGCTAACACTACCATTCAAAGGCATCAATTCTTCTGTGTTCCTCATTCATCATCCAGCTTTCACATGCATTTAGGCAATTGAAAATACCATGGCTTGGGTTAGGTGCACCTTAGTCTTTCATACTTTGAAGAGGCCTTTTGCAGCAGATTTGCCCAATGCACTGTATTGTCTGATTTCTTGACTGCTGCTTCTGTGGGTGTTGATTATGGATGCAAGTAAAATTAAATCCCTGACAACTTCAGTCTTTTCTTCATTTATCATGATGTTGCTTATTGGTCCAGTTTTGAGGATATTTGTTTTCTTTATGTTGAGGTGTAATCCATGCCGAAGACTGTAGTCTTTGTTGTTCATTAGTAAGTGCTTCAAGTCCTTTTAACTTTCAGCAAGCAAGGTTGTGTCATCTGCATATTGCAGGTTGTTAATGGTTCTTCCTCCAATCCTGATGCTGTGTTCTTCTTCATATTGTCCAGTTTTTCAGATCACTAGCTCAGCCTACAGACTGAATAAGTGTGGTGAAAGGCTTGATGCACATTCTTCCTGATTTTAAACCATGCAGTATCCCTTGGTTCTGTTCAAAGGACAGCCTCCTGGTCTATGTACAGGTTCCTCATGAGCACATTGAGTGTTCTGGAATTCTCATTCTTTGCAATGTTATCCATAATCTGTTATGATCCACACAGTTGAATGCCTTTACAGAGTCAATAAAACACAAGTGGACATCTTTCTGGTATTCTTTGCTTTCAGCTAAGATCCATCTGACATCAGCAGTGATATCCTTCATTCCATGCTTCTTCGGAATCCAGCTTGCATTTGTGGAAGTTTCCTTTCAATATACTGCAGCAACCATTTTTGAGTTACCTTAAGCAAAGTTTTACTTCCATGTGGTATTAAGATATTGTTCAATAATTTCCAAATTCTGTTGGATCACCTTTCTTTTGCCAAATTTCTTGGCATAAATGAGTAAGTACTTCTGGTGGTGCTTCCGTTTGTTGAAGCACCTCATTGGGAATTCTGTCACTTTCTGGAGCCTTGTTTTTCACCAGTTCCTTCAGTGCAGCTTAGATTTCTTTCTTTGGTACCATTGGTTCTTGATCATATGCTACCTCCTGAAAAATTTGGACCTCAAACAATTCTTTTTGATATAGTGACTCTGTGTGTTCTTTTCATCTTTTTTTTAAATATTTCCTGCACCATTCAATATTTTTCCCATAGAATCTCTTAATATTGCAACTGAATGCTTAAATTTTTTTCTTCAGTTCTTTCAGCTTGATAAATGCTGAGGGTGTTCTTCCCTTTTGGTCTTCTAACTCTAGGTCTTTGCCCATTTCATTAAAATACTTTATCTTCTCAAGCCACTCTCTGAAATCTTTTGTTCAATTCTTTTATTTCATCATTTCTTCCATTTGGGTTAGCTACTTTCCATTCAAGAGCAAGTTCCAGAGTCTCTTCTTACATCCATTTTGGTCTTTTCTTCCTTGTCTTTTTAATGATAGTTTGCTTTCATCATGTATGTTCTTGATGTCATCTCACAACTTGTTTGGTCTTCAGATATTAGTGTTCAATGCATCAAATTTATTCTTCAGATGGTCCTTAAATTCAGGTGGGATATAATCAAGGACATATTTTGGCTCTTGCGGAGTTATTTTAATTTCCTTTAGCTTCAACATGAACTTACATATGAGCAATTGAGGGTCTCTTCCACATTTAACTTGTGGCCTTGCTTTGACTGATGATACTGAGCTTCTCCATTGCCTCTTTCCACAGAAGTAGTTGATTTGATTTCTGTGTATTCTATCTCGTGAGGTCCACACGTATAGCTGTTATTTATGTTGTTGAAAAAAGATACTTGCAATGAATGAGTTGTTGGTCTTACAAAATTCTATCATGTGATTTCCAGCATCATTTCTATCACCAAGGCCACATTTTCCAACTCCTGATGATTCTTCTGTGTTTCCAACTTTCACATTCCAATCACCAATAATTGTCAATACATCTTGATTGCATGTTTGGTCAATTTTAGACTGCAGAAGTTGGTAAAAATCTTCAATTTCTTCATCTTTGGCTTTAGTTGTTGGTGCATAAGCTTGAATAATAGTAGTATCAACTAGTGTTCTTTGTAGCCATATGAGTATTATCTTATCATTGACAGCATTGTACTTCAGGAAAGATCTTGACATTTCTTTTTGACAATTATAGTAGTTAAAGTTGTGTCAACTTGCCTGGGCCTAGTTTTGAGTATCTGGGCAGCTGGATGTAGTTATTCCCCATGATGAGACTGCTAATCAACTCCATGGTGGAATCTACCATGAGCAGCTAAGTAGCTGCTTTTAGGGATATGGTCTGCTTCTAAAATATGAGAATAAACTTTGAGAAAGGTCTTGAGGTTTTTGGCACAGTTGGATCCTGCATTTGGCTGAGTCTTCATCTCAGTGGCCTGCCATGTTGTCTGCCAATATTGAGACTGTTTCTTGACATGAATTCGTGGCATTCTGTGTTGCTTGATAATTTGGAGGCTGTGCCATTTTAGTTGTCAACTTTGGGTTTGTCAGTCTCAGCAGCCAGCAGCTGTCTGAGTTAAGAGAATCTTCCAGCTTCAGTGGGCTGGGAGCAAGAGACAGAACTGAAGTGCAACGTCGAGGGGCTTTCACCTAGCCCCTTAGAGCTGGCATTTTGAACTCAGACTTCTTGCTTCCTAAACTGTGAAAGAATAAATCCCTGTCTGTTAAAGCCACCCGCTTGTGGTTATTTTCTGTTAGAGCAACACTAGAGGACCAAAACAATAATAAATGCAATACTATTTCTCTTCAATTGCTCATTCCCAGTATAGTAGCTCATATGATAGCCAGTTTCAAAAACAGTCCATTTCAGCTCACTAATGCCTAGGATATCCATCTTTATCTGTTCCCTTTCATTTTTGGCAACTTCTAATTTTCCTAGATGCACACTTTGTACATTCCATATGTTTTGGTTACCTAGTGCCACTCTGACAGGAATATACCACAAATGAGATGGCTTGAAGAAACAGGAATTTATTCTCTTACAGTTTGGAGGCTATAGGTCTAAGTTCAAAGTGTCAGGCTCTAGTGGCTGGGTGAAAGTTCCTCAAACTTGGGGTTCAGCCCTGCCTCCTACTCCTGACCCACTGGAGCTAGAGGCTTTTCTTCACTCAGACAGCTGCTGGCTGCTGAGACTGACAAGCCTAAGGCTGACAAATAAAAAAACACAGTCCCAATGTTACCAAATCACATGCAGGCCATTAATTCAAGTCCATTGAAAATCCCAGGGTTGGCAGAGCATGGCAGGCTGCTGAACAATGACATGGCTACATGCATGGTTCAAGCATGCCATAAGCTAGAGACCATTCCCCAAGGCTTCTCCTTATACACAGGAAGCAGACCACATCTCTAAGGCAGCTACTCAGCTGCTCATGTAGATTCCACTATGGAGTTGATTACCAGTCTAATCGTGGGAAATACTACATCTAGCTGCCCAGCCACTCAACCAGGCCCAGCCACGTTGATGCACAAACTTAACTACCACACCATGTTCTTATTATTAATGAATGGTTGCATTCATTAATAGTTCATTTTGAGTTGTGCCCCATCAGCAAATATAGGTCTAGAAAGCTTTACTCCATGCATGGCATTGAGGTTGAGTGTACTTTGAGGAGGAAGCTCTTTCCCAGTCATATTTTGAGTGGCTTCCAACTGTGGGCCTTATATTTAGGCAGTATATCTGACAGTGTTTCACAGCTATTCATTAAGTTTTCCAGTAATCTATCAGACAGTGTTTCACTGCTGTTGATAAGTTTTTCAGTGGCCAGTTTTTTCAGAAGTGGATGGTCCCATCCTTCTTCCCAGTCTGTCTTCGTGTGGAAGCTCTGCTGAAACCTGTCCACCATAGGTGACCCTGCTAGTATTTGAAATACCAGTGGGATGGCTTCCAGCTTCACAGTAACACACAAACTACCATGGTACAACAAACTGACAGATTAGTGGTGAGCTGGAGCTTACAAAATAAAAGGATCTGTGATGTTGATCAAAAAATGACTATCTTTAAAAAGATATCAATAAAAAATATTGCTAATTCAGTGGTTTAAAAGTCCAGAGTTTTAGAACTGATTTATGTTCTCAAGCAAGGGGTCAGATAGTAAATGGGTGTATTTTTTTTATCTTCAATTTATTTCTCAAGATTGTTATAGAAGTTAATTTTGTTCACTTCTATGATATATCTTGAATTCCTTGAAGAAGATAACTATAGAAAATAAAGTATCAGTGGATTCCACTGGTTTTAATTTTTCCTGTTTGTATTCATTG